GACAGAAATTTTAATACCTACCCTAATTCTGTCGCCTCTGCCTAGATAAATTTTTAGTCAGCATTTTAGTATGTATAACAGTTTCATTCAAACGGAGTTCTTCTTTTGAAACTGTACTTATCCTATTCACCTTTCATGAAGCACTGAGAGTAAGTCTCCGAAACTTTGACTGATCTGAGAATAGGGGAGAATCTCTAATAAGTATAAATTTTGTTAACTTTCAATTCTCATCTCCACTGTTGATTGAGCTTTGAATTTAATATCTCGGCTTCATGGTGAGACGGTTTGTGATGACTTAATGTCCTTTAAGTCACCTCAAACCCAAGAGCAGAACTTTGCACCATTCTTCACTTCAGAGGGGAAGGCAACATCAGTGTTAAGTGCATTTTATTTCAGCGCTTAGGCAAAACTAGCCGCGTGTTAAATATTTGTCATTTTGGTTTTTGTACCTGCAACTGTTTTGCCTGAATGACTCATGCAGGTACAAAAACGTTGTCGCCCTTTAAGATGATGCTCAGTGTGAAGTCAGTGTGAAGTCAGACAAGAACAAGAACAAACAAGGCTTAAAGAACTTATGATTCGTCAAAAGAGAAAAGGAGGGATACTTAAATATTTTTCTCTTCACTACATGAAAGTGTCACAGAAGGCAATAATTAGTATCCAAATAAATTACCTTTTGTCTGTGATGCTTTCTTATGGTTTATGTGATTTGCCGTCCATCTCATCACTTCATCAGGTAGAGTCTGGCACCAAAAACTGCTGAGAGTACCTAAGCTCAATCAACAGTAATTCTACTTTTTTTCTTCTTTTTTATGTTGCTTTATTTCTTTATCAGCATTTTCAACTTCTATCTAATGCATCTCTATGTAAATAAATGGGTGTACATATAATTATTTTGTGCAAAAAAAGAAAGAAAAAATTGATGGTTGGGTCAATTTTATTTTCAATGATTGTCCTGACAAGACTTACCTACCGATTGATGTATTACAGAAACAATCGAATTTTCACTAATTCATCATGATTCATTACTTTTTCTTCATAAAAATTAACAGATTTTTACAAGAAACTTGCAAAACAGGGCCATGTTAAGAATGTGTTCTTTTAATTTATACATCAATGTTGTATTAAATAAGCACAGAGTTTGTAGATTCATATAAATGAATACATTGGCTTATAACCATCTATAGTTGTTGGATGAACATCAATAATTAAAAAATTAAATGTTAGTACATCCTATCTTTTTGCCTAAAAGCAAGGCATCTTTCACTTTCATCTTTTTACGAGATCTCGCACTAGACTTTGAAATGTGAAAATCATTTCTATATTTTATCATGTAGGTAGGTATGCAGACAAAGACGTCTTAGGTACCAAAATACGTAGGTATTGTATTCCTTGTTAGCTCTTGTTTTGTAATTCTCATTTAAAATGAAATTGCCCATCTGCCATGTAAGTATTTGTCGGCTTTCGGCGTCAGTCATGATTATTTGATGAGCGCAAAGGGTGCACTTATCTATTGTAAAAACTGTAAAGTTTTTAGGTGATTATTTTATATTTTAAAATAAGTGCAAATAAAAACTAATGCAGCAATGCATGTTTTAAGTATACGCAAATTTTGATTGTATTTTGAAAATATAAATACTGATTAATAAAATGCCAGTTTTTTTTTCTCATCATTCTTGCACCAATATAATATATCTCCCCTTATTCTCTCTCTTTTTCTGTGGATTAATCGAAACACCTATTTTTTGGCGTAGTAGGAATCAAAAACATTTTAATCAAATCAACAATTAAATACATTTTAAAAATACGTTTCAATTTCTATAAACAGTCCAGAGCCCTTATTTGCTGATATAGGAAGCATCAGTACCCCGCTTTTGGAAGTGATTTAATTTTTCTAATTTGAAATTTTGGACAAGCAAAATTTTCAATCAATTCAGGTAAACCTTTCATTTGCCTTTTGTGCATTTTTCTTCAACAAAAGAGGGAGAAAAACAGTATCGTGGAGTTTGTCATACCATCAGTAGGAAAAGATGGTTATATCCTACTTTAGCCTGTAAAATTCTGCCCAGACAAAAACTTAGACCTTCAACCCACATAAGGAAAAGTACTTACGTCTTTTTAAACAAATTCAAATTTCGCAAACTGATTGTGGGTAGAAATTCTAATTCCTTTGCCCTGAGTTAGTTCATTTTAGCACATGTTCCTGACCTCCTGAGGCAAACACACTTCATTGACCTCCATTCTTAAGGAAGGTAGATAGTTTGTAATATGTAGAGGGATTACAACTTATTTCAATCAAATAATACAATTGATAAATTTAACAATTATAGACATAGGTGGTTCTAGACCTTCATTCTTGGGGGTGCCTAGAGGTGGAAAATGTTGGACACCCGCTCTATAGGGGACGGTCGCTCAGGGGAGGCCTAAGTTTCGGCCCGCAAGTTTTATCCCTTCCCTACCCTCCTTTCTCTTTTGCTCTCCTTCCTCTCCACTTAAATACCTGTAAATTCAATTTAGAAAATTTTTAGCAAAACTACAATCTTACCATAAAAAAACAGTGGAATCTTTGTAAAACATGGCTATCAATTTTAATTCTGTTTAAAACATTTTCAATTAATTCCTGGGATTTTTTCTCAGAGTGAGCGAATACAGAATCTTTAAAAGCAGTAATTTCACAGTTCCAATAACCGTACTTAATTTTTGATTTGGGAGTACCTGGCATCCACTGGCACCCCCATAGAACCACCTATGCTTTATATTGAAGTAGCGTCCCCGCTTGGTTTTTCGGTTTTTCTGTGCTGCTACTGCAGTTTCGACAGTTAAGGCTGCGTAGTTTAAGGGCGCTAAACCAGGATTATATTTCGCAAATGGATAATCTTGCAGAATAATTAAAAATCCAGAAGCAGGAGTTTAACAAAATATTAAAAGGAACTCAAATCAACAATATAATGCAAAACAATTTGGAAAATCTCGTCATGTGACACAGCAGATTCGGAAACGCCTTCAATTGAGGCGTGATACCTCACGCGTTCCGGAGAGTTCAAATAGTTGTATCCCTGCGCCTTAGCAAGGCGATGGAAGCGTAATATTGAAGTAGCGTCCCCGCTTGGTTATTTCGGTTTTCCTGTGCCGCTACTGCAGTTTCGACCGTTAAGGCCGTAGTTTAAGGGCGCTAAACCAGGATTATATTTCGCAAATGGATAATCTTGCAGAATAATTAAAAATCAAGAAGCAGGAGTTTAACAAAATATTAAAAGGAACTCAAATCAACAATATAATGCAAAGCAATTTGGAAAATCTCGTCATGTGACACAGCAGATTCGGAAACGCCTTCAATTGAGGCGTGATACCTTACGCGTCCCGAAGAGTTCAAATAGTTGTATCCTTGCGCCTTAGCAAGGCGATGGAAGCTTAATATTATTTATAGAAGCCCCTCCTGTCAGCCAGGTAACATATCATCCCTTATTTTCATTCAAAGGACTCATCGGAGCGGAGCCCTGGTACCTCTGATAGGTCTAACTTAGGATCCTTAAAGCATCGAGGCAGTGATTTTTTTCCAAATCGTTGCAGCCTTAAGTAGGCAACTCAATATTCAATTGAAATTTTTAAAAACCCTGGCTGCCAACTTTCATCGATAACAGTTTACAAAGAAATTCATTGTTATTTTGTCTCAGCCTCTTATGCTTGGTTTATTAATATTTCCTAAACACGATTTACATCACAGGCCGGGATACGTTTTTTGGAGTTCCTTTGAGCCTCATCAGGACCAGATTTAGGGGGTGGCCACATGGGCCGCGGCCCATGGCGGCAAATTTAAGGGGCGGCAAATTTTGCAATTCTTTTAAAATGCGATATGAAAAAAAAAATCGAATTCAGAGGAAAAATCACAAACAAGAAAATGCGACAAAATCTCTCATTTCCTGAGAGCATAGTAATGCCTCATTTTGTCGTCTTTCGGAGGGACAGCACCATTAATTGTAAGAGAGAAACCAAACACGCATTTGGCCTGGAACGGCGCGGCGCAGGGCGCAATGATGACGAGGACTTGAGATGGAAAGGAGAAGCCCCCGCTGGAGAAGCGCGGTGGTCGGCATGAAACATATTAGCGCCTACAAGACTGCATGAATATTTCACGCATTGCGCTAAAGACAACTGTGCGGTCGACGTGAAACGCCTCTATGGTGAAACGCATAGCGCCTACAAGACTGCAAGAATACTTCACGCATTGCGCCAAAGACAGTGCGGTCAGCGTCAGCGCGGCGGCGCGACGCTGCTGCCGAGTAAGTTGAAATTATTGAAACACATTTATTTAGGTATGTTTGCTCTACCATATTTTGTCGTTAATATCTTATAAATGGAAGGCCTTGTCCACCCAGATATACGTTTACGGAACTTAACTCTCGCGCAAAGTTCCGTGAACTTTTGCTAGTAGTGTTGACAGGGCTTTGTAAAAAATGTGTCCAACACAAGTAAATGCGTCATATTAGGGCGGACCAAATGAAAAATTGTTGTTCAGTCCTTATTGCGCCTCATTCAGGAGGCATACCCCTTCCTGGTTAGCTTACTCTCCTTCGAAATGACTTGACAGCTAAGTATAGCTTTGTTCAGCTATGCAATTTTAAATGTTTCGAAGGCTTGAGCGGAGGGAGGGGGGGGGTGGTTATGCAAAGATGCGAAATAAAATTTTATAATATAATGAAACATAGAATTTCAGTTTGCTGACGAGCGGTATTACATTTTCAACATGGTCTGCATAGTCATACTTGCAATTTTCCATTTTTCTTTTTTGCCAAAATTTCATCGTTTATATACGTTTCATTGTACACTGAGTCTATAGTAGTAAAATCTCCATGAAATTTTATTTCTTAAAGTTTCATGAAATTTTGAATCTGGCGGAATCATCAATGCGACCGTGTGACACGTGTGCACGTGCGACATAACTGCATAAACTTAAAGTAAATTTGCAAAACTGGCAACCCTGTAGGGGTAGAAAGAATCAAATCAATATGGCGTCTGTTATGAAGTATTGTTGTGAAATGTGAAATGTGTATGCGTTGATCGGCCGTTAGACCGCAAGTTTCGTTATCGTAATTTGAAAAATAAATGTGATTTCCGTTCTCTGGTGCACTATATCCCAGATGCCTAACTTATCTCAACTTTCTGCTTCATCTATCGCAGGTAAGACACTTTGTATTGCCATCTGATGATAACAGATTCCCCAGGATCACGGTGCTTATCTCATCACCGGCAATGTTTACTTCTTTCTGCGTCTAGTCAACTTCTCATATCTCTTATCACTTAACTAATCCGATTATAATCATGCAGACCGCAGTATCCTTCATCTCCTAAGCGAGCGAAATAACTTTTCTAGCATAACATGCACATCTTCGTTTGACCTTTAAGTAATTTTCAATCGCATTTCCGCATACATTTCCAGACCCACATGTTGGCACTTTTTTGGTCGAAATTTTATCGAAGGCAATCATAAATGTGGAGAAAGTAGAGGGCCTCCATCTCTTCACTTAATTCTCAATCAGTCGTCTGAATTGGTTGTCTTTAAAAAAATACCTCAATGTTGTATTGAATATATCGTAACACCTCCTGTCAACGCCACTGCTCATTACTTGCACTTATTACTAGGCTTACCCTGAATCAAAGCTGTCAGCATATTTTTCCTTATCTGCAACTGTTAGCAGTTTTTTTTCAAAGAAATTTGTTCCAAGTATTAGCCTCATAGGAGTCAATTTTCACCCCTAGTTACGCTAAGTCGTTCCCAGTCTGCAAGTGGAGATATAGTCCACGCCAGGGTTAAGAAATGATTATCTGATAATATTTTGGTTAGGTAATCAGCAATGTCCGATCAATTTTTAATGGGATGAATAATTTGACGACTGATCTATAATTCTGAGGACTAAGTGTCCAGTCAAGAGTTGCCACACCAATTCCAGTAATTGCCGAATTATTCGCGCCCAACTCTGGTCCATGCTAAATAAGTTAACATTTGTTTAAATATAACTTACAAAGCCGCCACCTTGATTCTTCTACTTAATACCCCTTGATTAATTCAGTGGCTTTGCCATTCTTACCGTATTGGACCTAAGTATCGATTTTTGATGGTTGATACCACAATAATAGAATGTAACCTTAAGTCTGTTTTCTGGGTAAATTTTCTTGCATTTGTTCATAACAATTTTTTGCCAACAAATCACTGAAGGTGTCGTCAGCCAAGTTAGCACTTGTTTACATTCTGCACGCAAGGTATCGCGATGGAATCGTCCAATAGCGATCAAGGATTGACCGCAGACTGATCCTGAGCGTAGTTAGTCCTCGATCCCTATTAGACAACTGCATCACAGTCGCTTCCAAATGGAATGTAAATAAGTGCCAACTTAGCTGACAACACTTCTAATGAAGTAATGCTGATTACACACGAAAAATTTCAAATCCAATAAATACTTAGATCCATTCCACCAGCCTGGCAAGCATACAAGATTATATGTATGTTTACATCGGAGCCATCGAACAGCAGTGTGCATGGAATTATGCAGCTACTAAATCAGTCTGATGGCTACTTATGTCTTTCTTGAGCTTTCAACCTTGATTTTCAGATGATGCCCGAATAAGTCTATGTTAGTCTGAAGAAGGCTGATCCTCTGGCGCACCCTGGAAGTACGCCATAGTCAGTGGGCCAATATTCTATGCACACTTTTAAAAACTATGTAAAAGGGGGCCATAAACTTCTAACTTTAACAAGCATACGGTCCATTCTTATCCCATCAGCGAAGCCCTGATGAGCTTCGGGTCAATCAGATCCTGATTCTTAGAGGTTTTTTTTTTTTTTTTTTTTTTTTTTTTTTTTTTTTTTTTGAGAGCTTGCGCACTCTAGGTATAGTTCATTGGCCTTAGTCGTGTAGACAAACAGCCACCGCTAAATGATGGGAGGATTACAACAACAGTAGAAACGGAAGTACAAAGGAAGAAACGAAGAGAAACATCCATGCCACTCCACGGTGACAAGATCTGAGACCATCAAATCTTGCCACCGAGGCCGGGATTCGAACCCGGGACATCTAGGTCTGTGATCAGTTGCGCTAACCACTGGACCAACCGATGTCGGCTTCTTAGAGGTTGATTACCGATGAAATTATCTCTATGACACTGATGAGGTTAATCTCTGCAGCAATTTGTATTAAAATCTCAGGTAATTTTGAATATTCAATGTCATCTTTCTTTTTTCTAGAGAAACAGTAAGGAAGTTAGCATATAGAGATGGCGAGTCCCTCGCCTCAGAATTCGCCCATGCCTCCGCCGCAAGCCCCATCTCCTTTGGGCCCTCCTCAACAGGTCCTGTCGCCCATGTCTTCTCCCGCAGGAATGGCTCCTCCGCAAGCAATACCACCTTCACACCCTCATAGTCCAACAAACTATTCGCAAGGTCTGTCTCCGGGGACAATCCCCCCTCACATGAGCCCAACAGGTGTTCCTCAGCATGCTATGGCTCAAGCCTCTCAGCCCCCATTTCAGCCAAATGCTTTGCAGGTAAGTTGCATTTTTTATCTTCCATCATGTACGAGTTCAAAATCGTAGTCACATCATTGTAGCAATGCTATTTATGAGACAGGGCATTGTGACAATGTTGTAACGCAATTTTTACACACTATTTGCTGAGGGGGGCTTTTCCAACATTTTTGCCACTCCTTAAATATGCTCTTAAAACTACCCTTTGCCCGCTGTTTGAGCCTTGCCTCCAGAGCTTTTATCACCGCAGTCTTTGCAGAATCAAAATGTCCTTCTTCGAAGCGATTTTCGGCTTGAGAGAATAGAAAATAGTTATTACAAGTCAGCAGCCTGATTGTTGAAATTTTGTGTTTGTCAGGTGGAAATGGATGACATCGGTTAAACGGCGAAGCGTGATTGGTGGGCTATGTCTTATCGTTGCCTTGTCGTGCTTTGTCGGGTGGAATGGACGACAAACGTAAGGCACCCCTTGAGTATCCGACAGTATCCATCCGACAAAGCATGACATAGCAATGATAAGACATAGCCGACCAATCTTGCTTCGCCATTTAACCGATGTCATCCATTTCCACCCAACAAACACAAAACTTCGACAATCATTGCAGATTTGGACAGATGAATGAGGTACCATTTTCAAGTTTTTCTTGGCCGAGAACTCTATGACACCATGCTGGGGCGTCAAAACAGTGTTTGGAAGTGGGAGGCAACAACCATTGAGGCTGCAAAGTGCAAACATTTGTACTTATGGTTCAGATAATTGCTCAATAGCGTAGAAACCTCACCAACCAATATGTGAAATGTTGTAGCACATTCCGCACTGTATGAAAAGCATCTGTCACATAGCTACACGCATCGCCAGCATTGATGATCTCAGGGTTTCTACTACGGGGAAAACTCAGAGAATTTGATATCGACTCCGAAATGTTCGTTTTTTTAAATGGAAAGTTTATCTCTCTGAACATTATGTTCTGAGCCATCATCATGAACAGTCTATATTTTTTTTTTTCAATAACTACATTTTTTTAAAAAAAATTCATGGCTGCAGCAAAATCTCAGGAACACTTTGAAGAGAAATCTTTCCCTCTAAGGGGAGTCTTCCCGCAGCTTTGAAATGAATAACCGTTTATCGCCTTAACTTTTAAACGAGTAGCAATAGGGTAATCAGTCTTTCTATTTCTGTTTCTGATATTTCTCAGTTTCAAGAAATTCAATGAAAAAGTTAAATGCCTCTACATTTCATCGGTGACTTGTAATCTTGGAGGTAACTTATTGAAATGATATTCTTCCTCTTGTTAATTCCTCAGAATACTTGTCGGAAAATGATGAAAGTATCCATCCTGTAATATTTTCTTGTTCCTTCTCTGGTACCATCCATCTCAGAAATCTACCTGAATGAGCATTAAGAAACGACTTTAAGAAATTTGAAAAGTATCTACTAATACACCTGTAGTACTTCTGAAATGGTTGGACTTGAAGTGTAGATATGTATAAATCGCTATTAAACGAAACTAAACACAAAAAAATAGGAAACTGGGACCAGAAGAAAACAGAATGTCTGGAACGTTATGGGGTGGTTTCAACCCTCTCCTCTATCAGGAAAGAAAAATAAAAAAGTTTGAAGATAAAAAAAGCTCCCCAATGGGGGTCTGAGGGGTTTTCTGATTTTTATATTTTTGTTTCCCGGCGGAGAAAGGAGTTGAAACTACCTTAAACGTCCCAGGCATTCAATTTGTTTTTAGCCCTCGTCTCCTATTTCTTGTGTTTTGTTTCGTTATATTATTAGGGCTATTTTCGTTTATCACTCTTTTTGCAATTAAGTAAATTAGGATGCAAAATTATGCCCCAGCAACTTAGCAATTTGCTCTGAAGGAATTCTTTACCCAGGAAAAATGGACATGCATCTTGTTCCTCTCTGCAATTTCTTCATCTCTACAAAAATTCCCAGAGAAACACCATCTTTGTCTGTATTTTGATGTATTTCTCAGTCTCCTTTTGAATGCATCCAAGATCAGTCGTCAATCTTAAACTCTTAAAAGGTTTTCGCTCGAGAGATATTACTTTTTTAAGTATCTTTGATAAAAGTATTTCATCTACTCCTTTTTCATTTTCTGGATCTAATCTAGTCAGAAATCTTAATCATCTTTTTTTGTCTTTTTCACCGGCTAATCTAAAATAAAACAAAAAGAAAAATGAAAAAAGAGAGGAAGGAGGAGGAATAAAACTTTAATATATTATTGGAAAATTTCTGGAAAGTATTTATTAGGTTATGGATTTTGTTAAAATGGTTACGGCTGAAACTTCAGAATCTGTTAAAATGACTAAAATACATTCATAAAATCAAGTGCTTATTTTTGTTAACACAATTTATACTTAAAATATATTATATCAATTATTAATGCCGAATAAAAAAATCACAAATAACTTTCAAGTATTTTAAAAACAATTCGAGGAACTGTGAAGAAGTGTTAAAACTTTAAACGTTTGAACATTTTACGATTTCATACTAAAAGTGGCCTCCTTTTCCTTTACTTCTACATACTGAAAATCTCATCGATTCAAATCTTTTTCCCAGAAAATACCTCACTGGAGCCATACCGACTAAGAGTGGACCTACCTCTTGTCGATTTTTAAGAATTGATTAATCACGTACGGTGTGTTCACTTTACTTACATATTTCAAGATGTTTTCAACAAGATTAATAATAATAAAAATCTATACATAAATAAATCAACAAACATTAAAATAACTTTAAAAAACGGTTAATGAGGAACCTCTTTGCTTAAAAATCTTTAAGGAGCTTAGCAAGATTTTGCGCCAGAACGTTGGTGCCTGCTGCAAGAACCCTGGCTGTCATCAAATCGAATTTATCTCCTGGAACATAATACCATATTTATTACATGCTGTCTCTAATCACATTCATGGGAGTGTTGAAATTAAGTTTCAAGTATTTACTAACAATAAGCCAGTAAAGATAAGAGAGGGATTGATTTGTCATTCGCTATTTTGCTCACAATCAGTTTTGTGCTGAAGAAAATGATTAAGTACAGGAATATCTCTCTTTAATTGCTTGTAAAGGAATAATAAACCACTCTGTGAATGATACATCGCGAAACTGAATTATTGGAATAAGAGGGAGCGTTTTAAAGATGTAAGCAAATAAAACTCTTTAAAGCAATGGATGGAACATCAGGCTGCATAAAGTCATATCTTGTGTAGAGGTCCATCACTTTGATAAACTCATTGCAGTTAGTTGAACGAATTAGTTTAAATCAGAAGTATAAAAATTAGCTCGGTTAAATAAGATTTTTGTAACAGTGAATTGGGTAAGAGGACAGATTTTGTCAAAAGAGATGGGCAGAAGTTAACCTGCGTGAACAGGTTGCATTACTTTCACGAAAGTTGTGTAAATTCTTACCGTTTGTGGAAATTACAGTGCCTCCTGCTTCTCTGAGAATGAGAACTCCGGCTGCAATATCCCAGCTGTTCAAGTAGTTGGCATAGTATGCATCCAAACCTCCCATTGCTACATAGCACAGAGTTAAAGCTGAGCTCCCAACTGTCCTAACTCTGAAAAAAATTCAACAACTTTAGATGAACTTACTCTGTTATCGAGATGTGAGAAGAAAGCTGATGGAGTACTTGAAAGCCTAGATTTTAATTTAAAATGTCAACAGACGGAAAACTTGAGCGATTTAGGGGATTTGTTCTGTAGCAAAAAGTGAGGGAAATTAGAAAGTCACAGCTTCGAATTATTTGGAAAAGCATTGATTTTTATTTTTATTTTTTTCCTGGAACCGTAAGACGAGTTCTCGACGAAATTGGGACTGTATTCGTAACACTTTATAGAAATTATCGAGACTTCGTAATTTTATGATAATACATCTCAGAAAATTACTGCTCTCATTTGCTTTAATTTTTTCTTCTTGAATTTTGTAGTGATTAATTAAAATTGTAAAGTAATCTGTTAACTGAAAAAGTAAGAACGTGTGCCTTCTTTCATCCCTGGAAAAAAATAATTGAGCCCTTAGAATTTTGAACTTGCACAGAGTACAATTTATTTGTAGTTTAAAAAACCGTCTCAGCTCTGCAATAGATTAACTTCCCTTTTACGGAAGAAAGAAGCTAACTGCTTGAGATTTGTAATTTTAAGTGACACTCTTGAATATCCATGATGTTTAAACACTGACTTACCCATGAGCGACAGATACACAGGCATCAAAAGATTTCATCATCTGATTGTGCCTTGATGGATGTCGACCGTGTGATAATTCCAAAGCTAGCAATGACTTAGATAAATCTGTAATAAAAGAGAAAATAAGAAATTTTATTTCGGCTACCTCTCCTTATTTAGAATTCAGATCAGGATTCTCGCAAGTCATTGAAGGACTCAATTTAACATGAATGAGTCAATTTTTTCAAAAATAAAAAAGGAGGAAAAAAGGAAACAAGAATTTTCCAAAAAAAAATAGCAACAATTTGAGAAGAATTTAACTTCTGAAGCTCAGCAGATCCTCTTTTTACTGTTCATGTTATGAGTTAACGTGATGAGAGACTCCCTCTCTCCTTAAAATTTTGAACTAGGTAAATTGAAACTTTGCACTAAAACCTGTTTGCTTTGTTTGAAAAGCACGGTGATCTGAGACCACTTTCTTTTCTATTTTACTTCGTAAATGAGGAAACAGGTTGAAAATAATTTGTATTATGAAAAAATATAAAGTGGTTTCGTAGAGTGGTATTTCATATTTGAAATATTCTACATATTTCAGCAAACACAATAATCACTATGTAAATATTATATTCAATATTTGACCAAATTAAAAATACAAGATATTGTCGAAACCTAAAAAGCTCTGTATTTTTCGTTTCACTATAAAATCATTGAACTTGCAGACGCCTGCAAATTCTCCGTAGGTGATTATCTTAGGCTTCAACGAGGTCTTAACGTTTCGTACGGATAACAAAATTCAGGGAGTTCTATCTGCGATTTTGTGTGGAAGATATTTAGAGTGTAATTACCTTCAGTTTTTGAAGCCCTAATAGGTTGCCCATTCAAGAATGCTCCCTGGCCCTTCTTAGCTGTGAACATTTGGTTCATAATAGGATTGTAGACGATGCCAATGACGAGTTCTTTGTTGATGGTTAAGGCCACTGAAATACAGCTCTGAGGATATCCATGCATGAAATTTGTTGTGCCGTCGATCGGGTCAATGATCCAGGTTGGATCAGATGTTAGCTCCGCTCCTGATTGACTTTCCTCAGCTATAATTCTGAATTAGAAATGAAAGTATAAAAATTCTGTGCTCAGAAATGATAGGAAATGTTTGTACTTGACAAAAAAATTATCTTGAAAGAAAACTGAAGAAAAACAAATCTAATTCTTGTAGTACCTATACATATGGTTTATTTTTTTTCTTTTGATAATGAAATGTTCTGGCGCTCTCCTTAAATTGGTTATCTTCACAATTTTATTCCCACCATTTTCTTTTCGTTTTCCTCTTAGTTTCAAGTGGTATATTTTATGATTATTTAACCGATAGGGAGAGCAGGCAGTACACTAAAAAACTAGACTTCATATGCTTTCATGATGGGATAAACAAACAATTACTGCTCAGAAATTGTCTTCATTAAAATCTGATATTGATGATTATAGACAGTATTTTATGCAGTTATTCGGGAAAAAAAGCTAGACCCATTATGCAATGATCAAGGGGTGCATTAGCAATCGGTAATATGGCACATTCTTGATGAAAATCTGATGATCTCAATGATTGTGACTGTGCTGAAATACTTACTTGTGTTCAGGGAATTCCCTCAGCAATTGTTGAATTAGGTTGTCTTCTACCTTTTTATCGAATTCTGTTACAAAATCCCAATCTACGGCTTTTGTTAAAGTTTCTTTCTTCTTTGAAAATCCATCAATCATTATCTGTAAAATAAAATAAAAATAGAAAAAAAAATAAAATATGAATAAATGAAAGGAATAAAAAAAATACCCAAAGTAATAAAACAGATAAAAGAAAGCAAAGCAAAAACAAAAACAAAGAAACAAAAAATAATATATTTCCTTTTGAAAATACACTAAAACACATGTATGATTCCAAACAGGGAACTTTCTGACTTATTGTTAGCATTTTAGGTGAGATGAATTTGTCATTTCATTCTTATAAAATCGAATAAGTTTTTCTAAGAGCCTAATCATGACCCACTGGGCGATGTATCTCGAAAGAGAAGCAGGTTTCAGCAGCTGTTGCCAAATTTCATCGGAAATGTATTTTTTACTGAAGAATTGTCGCACCGAATCTTTCGAAAAATTCAGGGAATTTTCTCTTCGACATCGAGCAAACTCCCTGAACTTTTCAAGTGAATTGGTAGGACTGCTCTCCTGTAAAAAATAACTGTTCAATGAAATATGGCAACAGCTGCGTGAATAGCTAACAATAATTTGGTTTTTCTTCTGAAAAAGTATTGCCGGTAAAATTATTAATTAAAAGCATAGCTGATCATAAGGTCGTTCTCGGTTTTATCAACATAGATTCCACCTACATACGGGCGTTGATGGAAGAGGGAGGGGGGTTGATGAAGAGTGTGTGCAGCATTCGTCTCAACTTTCGTCAAAAATAAGTATCGTGAATGGTTCAACTGGACGTATTTATACTAAAAGGAACTATGTTGCACGCGGAACCTATGCACATAGTTCCTTTTAGCATAAATACGTCCAACTGTTGCGCAAGCAGTGGATATGAAGGAGGCAGGGTGCTACTCGGCACTGAAGGAAAAATTAACTTTGAAACTATTTTGCGACGAAAACGGGCTTTAAAAAATGGGCCTTTGAATTACACTTGTTCGTCATACCTTGCGAGTTTTAAAAACAGGAAAAAAAATTACGAAAAAGGCGGGGAAAAGCAGTAAAAAATGTGTTTACGTGCCGCAACACTCACTACAAAATGGAATCGTCGGCAGCCAAAAGAATAGTTTAACTCTAAAATTGCGTAGTGTCGATTTTAACGGAGGTGTTACGAATCTTCCTTTATTCTCACTCCGTTTTTCAAGCTAACGTCGAAAACGTGTATCTTCATTGCAGCGTTTGAAAAGTTCTAATTATGTTTCATTTTTCCAGCGGAAAATTAACCGAACTATCATCTTGAAATTTTCTGGGATTTTCAAAAAAGTTTAGAAAATCCACAGAAAATTTTCAGGAAAACCGTCTGCTCTCTTTTTCTACAGTAAAATCGGAGCGGAGATTCCCAACACTGCAATCGGAAATACTTCGGCATTTGTCGACTTTAACCACCGAATCGTGGAGATCTTAATAACGCGTCAGCCGGATAAAAAAGAGGCGATAAAGGCACTAGACTCCTAGCTCCTTTTAATCCAATGGAAATTCGTTCACCCATGGCACGTATCTAACACTGTTAGTCATCCCTCTACTTTGTTCGCTACGCGTTACATCTAAACATCCGACATTGGTTACTAAATTTTCTGGTCATTATTAGATAAGTTTACCTTTATTTGCTTGTTCAGATTTCACAACAGTTACGATGTCCACGCAAGCAACTAAAGAAGGTTATTTTGGCATCCCAGCAACAAGCTTCCACCATTCTTTTTTCACCTATGTCCCGCGGCCCGAAAACTGTTTTCTCAGCGTGAGGAAAATTCCGTAGAAATTTGAAGCAGTGAAGTTGGCTTTGTTTAAGAAATTAAAATGAAGATTGGATTACAAAGAATTCCAGCAAGATGGAAAACCTGAAAACGCTGGAGTAATGAAGACGCGCTTTTTCCGAGCGAAGCCAGGAAGAAGCGGTGTTACTTTATTCCAACGTTTCAAAATTTTCGTTGAATTTTACAATTCTTCAGAAAATTTACACTCCAGGTTCCGAACTATGCGTGGTTTATCTCCAGGAGCGTGAAAAGAAGTCACCGAATTCCTTACTCATATTTCCTATAAGCTGTGTGGTCGAAAAATAGAATTTCAGCAAAAACTCTGAAGCATTGCAATCAAATTACTCAACTTTGACTTTCAGCGACTTAATGCATCGCGCAGACAAGCCTGAAGAGTGCTGTGATGTCCCGAAGGGCAAGAAAGAAACGAATCTTTTCAACCGGCGAAGAATAAACTATCTTGATTTGCGTGCTTATTTACCAAAGTGCGGAATAATTTTAAATACTTCTCTAGCCTTGTAAAACTCCCAGCTTTCATCCGTCAAATGAATCTGAAATCATGTCCATGACCAAAGGCACGTGAATTCTCCATGTTCGTATTTATTTTATCTTTTCTTCTAATATATCTTCCATTGAAACTGCTGTATGTATGAGTGTCCACGGGGAATGGGATATTCGTCACAAACGCTTAAAATTGATGTTTTGATACCACAATAGAGAAGTCTTGGGTGAACATGTTGGGACAAAAGGACGGTCCAAAAAAAGCGGATCAAACTCGAATCATCACGGCGGTTTGAAGATCGCAGTTCAAAACACATAGTTATAGGTGAAAGTTTTTAACAATTCTAGTCAGTCACGTCTCTGGGCACAAAGCAATACTGCAACTACTATAATTATTCTATGACTAATTTTTGGTTACAATTGTGCATATTACAGGCGCAAAAATGAAGGAAACAGTTTGCCACTTTTTTTCAGGATATCAGAGAGATTTTTTGGTCGAAATGTCCAAGTCCATTTTTTTAACCCAACTCGACAAAAATCACTCTGCAGATAATTTTACCTCCATGTACTGTAGATTCCTTCCCCGTAGACAGTCACATTTACTTAAAGTCAAGTTTAAGTTTTACATCTGAAGCTGTTTTTAAACTGCTCCTTGACTCGTATCCGTAACGCAATCGCAGAACCCATTTTCTTAAACTAATGTAAAAATCTGTCGTGAGAATGCCATTTTCTATCCAATACAACTCGCAATTTTTAATTTCAATTCGTATCGCGGTTTCATCAAGTTTGAAACCCCGAAAATACCCCAGGAAAAATTATTTTACTCAAAAATGCCATGGAAAACGGAGAAATGCTGCATGAGTATTTCAGGTAAAAGAATTGACATGCTTTCTCTTTCGGAATTCGTTTCTATCCTTTCAAGTTTTACGACCGACTGAAAAAATCAAATCAGGAAAGCATATAATGATGGAAAAATTTCCTTAATGCATGTTAGTATCATCAGAAAAACTATTGATCGAAACATCAAAGACATTTTTGTCAAGAAAAATTTGGAAAAGTCAGAATAATTTTCTCCGGAGCCCCTGAATACCCAGCCCCGAAAAATCTTGACCGCTAACGTGAGACAGAAGGGAAAACATCACGGACTTCAAGGACTATTTATCGACCGTATCGAAGTTTTGAGAAAACAGATATGATTGTGAATTTCTCTGAGCACTCTTATCTACCTCTTTCAATTTTATTAAGGTGCAACGTATTGTTTCTGAAAAGGGTTAGAAATCTGCTTTAGAATGCCGAGTATTTTTGAGAAACACGATATTAGGAATTGCACAATTACAGCGCACGTTTACCAATAAAATTTGGCTCTCTCGTAGTCAAGGACATCGTCACTTACCGGCCAAATTATCACAAGCGCTATGCGACGTTTAAAACTTTCCGCCGCCATTTTATTTTTTTACAGAGAAATTGTTTGACGAAGCTCTCCGAAAACTTCACTAAATTATCCTTGTACTGCCGATAAAATTCAGTGAAATTTTCAGACATTCAACTAACAATTTCTCCGTAAAAAAAATAAAATGGCGGTGGAAATTTGTAAACGTCGCATGGCGCTTGTGATACTTTGGTCGGAATGTGACGATATCGTTTGTATTCTCTATTAGGAACAAGCAGCTCGAGGAAGATATTTTTATCTGTGATCTTGATCCTACTTAGAAGATTTCTAAAATTGAGAGCTCATCATTGAACCTCGCGTATTTATTCCATTACCAAAATTTCGTAGCTTAATTTAATTAAAATTGAATTTTCGCACCATGTGCACTCCTCTCAGAGCCCATCTTCTCGATAAGGAACGAAAATGTTTCCAATATCGATTGAATTGTCGACGTTGCATGTGAGCAGTTGAGTCATCGGTGTGGTTTTAGAATAAACACAGTTGCACACACAATGAAAAGGTTGAGCGATGAGCCATCAATTTTTGAACTATTTTGCAGGCGCGTCAAAGATGAGTAGAAAAAATGTAAAAGTAGGGCCCTCTATAGGGGCTTCTCACCACAACGCTATACTGGCGGCAATCGATTTTCACCTGTTTCATCCCAGCACCCCCTGTTTTATTCTGACGGGGTAACACCTAAGATTTTTCAATCGAAAATTAAACGCATTTCTAGGACAGATCTAAAACCAGATTGGGAAATGACATTTCGGAATCTCGGAATGAAATTTCATAAGATTTCTCTTTCAGAGGATGTTGCATACAATTGCAAGGGGTTAAGAGGTTGCAACCCGTAAAAGTCCACTCTAACCCAGGAGTTCAACTCATGAGAATATATTTTACGTTTTTATATTTTTTTCTAATTTTATTCTCTTAGGTTTTAATTGAGTGAGTTACTAAGTTAAAACTTTCCATGCGTCCAATATTTTTTCAAATTTTTATTCAATAATTATTTTTTTTTCAAAATTTTAATCGAGCCAGTAATTAGTTGAAACTCTCTGCACGTTTCATGTCATTCACAGCCGATAAAATCGCCGCAGTAAATTAAATAGTATTTCACGAGACCCCGTCTCAAGATTTCATTTCAGGATTTGCATTTTCACAAGATTTTATACAAATGTTCATTTCTGGTAAGGGATGAAACAAAGTGAAAACTTTCCACGCGTTTCATATTTGTTTTATTTAATAATTATTTTTTTCAAAATTTTAATTAAACTGAAAAATGGTCGCAAAAAAAGTGAATAGTATTTCACTTGAGCATTTACATTTTCATAAGATTTTTTAAAATTTTGCATCTCGGGTGAGAGTCGACGACGGTGAAGATGAGAAAGTGGAAAAATTTCGATGCGAAAAGTGAGAGAATGTTGAGAACCTACCTCGGCTGATTTCTTGACGATGGACAGGGATTTGTTGTAGTAATTGTTCACTTCGTTGACGGACGGCATCTTGAAGGAGGGATACGCGAGTCTGGGAACGAAGGGATACGCAAGTCTGGGAAAGAAGGGATACGCAAGTCTGAGAAAGAAGGACGGATCACGATAGAAATTTCACGAATTTGATGTTGCCGGCTAAAAATCGACGAGAGGACTGAGCCAAAGACGAATCGCGGGGCAATTGAAATAGGTGAAGCGCGGAGGTGAATCCCCCTCCTCTCCTAGCCGGCCAGCGAACGGAATTTTTCCATTTTCCATCTTCCATCACCCCGCCCTCCCCTCGCCCCTCACGTTGCGGTATGCACCCGTGATGCAGATGAGTATCTTATCTCTTATCAATTTCGTCCACCATTCCTATGACGTGTTTGTGGGATTCCGTCGGTCACCTTTTACCTGTCGCCTTGTTATTGTTTACAAAGAATTTGATTCATCCTCCCGTCACAGTCGCAAGTCACACACTCTTCCGCGGGCTGTTTGCTGGATGAAGTTGATAGACAGAGCTATAGACAAAGAAGACAATAGGGATATGGGAGATCCTATCGGAGGAAGCGGGTGGTTGCAATGGACGAAGGAGGTAGGTAAGACTAACTAACGGCAACCCACGAGAGACCCTATAGTTAGTCCATCACTAACCGCCTTAGTCTATAAGAGCCACCCATTTCAACCAATAGGATTGATTCATACTCCCTCAGTCTTCTTTGTCCATAGCTTTATCTATCAATTTTCAATTGGAAATTGGTAGACAAAGCTGTAGACAAAGAGGACAAGGGATGGAGGGATCATATTGGTGGAAGCGGGTGGTTGCAAAGGACGAAGAAGGTATAGGCAATAGACTAACTAACGGTAGCCCAAGACGGACCCTATAGTTAGTCCATTCTTTTTTTTTTTTCTTCGTCTGTAGGAACTACCATGTCAACCAATAGGATAGCTTCATCCCTATGTCTTCTTTGTCTATCGTTTTGTCTGTCAATTTCAACAATCAGCCCGCAGTGCCTTTTTTCTTTGTTTCACGGTTACACCATCTCTCCGCTTCTTTTAAAGAGATGGCTATTTGTGCCTAAGTTTCAGGTACCTCGAGTGGTATCCATAGGACTTCATAGTTAGGAGCAAACTTTCCCTAACCATTTTGATCATAATCAAACTGCACAGCATTAGCTTCGAGAACCGCGTTTGCTGTTGAGGTCTCAAATTTTGTTGGTTTGGTGTGAATTATTAAATTGTGAGTTTTTTAGACCTAGGCCCCTTTTCCCCTGGTTACGATCTTATATTGAGAAAGAAGCAATTGGTTTCCATCGACTTAAGTTACTTTTTCTGGGGATGTTTAAATCCCCTACTCTGAGGAGTCATGATTTTTTATTATTTTAGTCCGATTGGATTTGAAACAAAATTACTGATCATGTTTTACCTGATCTGGGCATACGCAATCGGAAGTTTGAAATGCATAGGTGCCTGTTCTTTTATTTTCTCTCTGTCTCTTCCTAATGCTTCCCTCTTTTAAGTCGGTCCCCTTTTTAGCTAGGAGAAATACGGACGAACTAAAGAGGTATTTTTACCCTTAAAAATTAATTAGTAATGCATGTGTGGAATTTATTACTCTAAAAAATGCAGTTATTTTTGCGTTAACAGTTGAAAATTATTATACGGCTCTGCCATCGTTTTCAAATTGAAATCGAAAAATTGTACATCCATTTTTGATAAAAATTTTAACTCCTATAAACGTGTCAACGTTTAGGCTTGATATAAAAAAATACGCCGCAAATATTTGCGTTCTATTATTCGCATTATGCTTCGTCGAGGTCGTAGATAAATCGAGAAAGTAAATCACTTTTTGACGGCGAACATTTTGGATGCGTCAGAGACTTTTTGCGCGATGTTTGCAGAAATGTTGTCTTTTCCTCTCACGATTTCTACTTCTTTAGCCCGGTTCAACGCTACAAGTCCCAATCGCGTTTCGTTGGATGCGTCAAATTCATTGAAACCACGAATCCCGTCCGACAAAGGGAGCAAAATTACGAAAAAGTTTTCGGATCTCTAAAAGATTTTTTGTATCTCACACGGTGATTAAAGTTCTACTTCGTGTTTTTCGCATGATCCAATGCGTTGCTGATTTCCTCGTGTTGAAAAAAGTACGGTTTCCATCATGGCTGAAAAAATTGAACGGTTATTCCGCCTCACTTTTTTAACTTGTGTTTGCCTCGAGCAATGACGTCAGTTAGAAAAAGGCGGGGTGCAGGCACTCCCTCCCTATTATTTCATAGAATTGATTTCAAAAGATGGAAAAGATCGGATCTGCAAGTAAAAAGTTCCTCCCCCCTCCCCCGCCCCCCGCCCCTCCCGATGTCGAAGGTTCTGCTCGAATGACGCCACTGGCAGTCAAACCTTTTAATTTTCACGCTTTTTCATTTTATTTTTTTAAATTATTCCGAACATGAACAAATCTTTGCATTAAAATACTAAAATTTTTGCGAATGAGTCACTTTTTTTGACGCACATTTCCTGCCTCTGCTTTTCGCATTTGAGCTCAGACACGCTCAGGCTCAAAAATCCGTGCAAGAACCCACGAGAGAAGCAGATTTTTGTGACATTTTTGGGAAATTTTATTTACAGACTGTCACAGGGTTGCCACAGTCAGGGAATATCGGGAAATGGCAGAGAATTTTTAAAAGTCAGGGAAAAACCTGGAAGTGTCAGGGAATAATCGTAATCGTTCAGTCACCTTTATTCGCTCTCTGGAATGGGCTTGCCGTTTCGAGTTTGCCTGAAAACTACCTCTAATTATTTCTTTTTAGTCATCTGGCATATCTTCATTTGTCAGGGAATTTCACCAAAATGTGTCGGAAAATCAAGAAATTTCATTTTTCGAAATTCTGTGGCAACCCTGTACGTCAATATCATCCCTCTCTGTCGCGTCGATCGGAAATAAATCTCGGCGAGCGTGTAACGCGGAATGTGGTGGAGAATCTTTTCTTATGACAATGACTTTCTGTTGCTGATTTGATCGGCGTTTCAGCATGTCGATTGACAGGAATTACAATTCGGGAAGGTGTGTCGATGCCTATTTCCAAATGATAGCGCACGTAACGTGCCATATATGTACAGGGTTGCCAGCGACCGGGAAAACCGGGAAAAGTCAGGGGAAAAAAATCAACCGGGAAAAATCAGGGAAAGTCAGGGAATTTCGGTGTTGGTCAGGGATTTTTCTGATTTTTCGTGGAATTAGGCGCGGGAACTGGTAAAAATTTAAATAGTCGAAAATAGCTCTCATTTTCACTTTAACAGACTGCGTCAGATCCATACTTAAAAGTCAGGGAAAAATATTGGAAAGTCAGGGAAAAGTCAGGGAATGGAAAAAAAAATTTGGCTGGCAACCCTGTATAATTGCCCTTGCCTGAACGGTCAGCAAAATCTTTCAAAAATCTTCCTCCTAGGGATTGCGTATCGTCACCTTTCGGCCAAAGTCTCACAAGCACCATGCGACGTTTTTTCCGCCGTCATTTTGTCTTTACCGAGAAATTGGTCAACGAAGCCGTCCGAAAATTTCACTGAATTTTCTTTGTTCTGCCGAAAAAATGCAGTGAAATTTCCAAACAGATTCAACCACTCGGTAAAAAAATAAAATTGTCAAAAAAATTGTCATTGGTGCAACTGACATTCAGTAATTATTTTTAGTAATTTAAACTGTCGTAAATGAGAACCGTGCTTCCAACTCAGCTTTTAATCTCGTCGGCTCATATTATTTCATCGCAATGCCGGAGAGAGTTTTTCTCTTTTTTCAAATCGAAATGTTTCACCTGAAATAGTTCACCACTCAAAAACCAGCGAAGCCTCAGCGAAGCGAGGCTAGGCAAAAAGTCGGGGAGGAGAAATGCCGTTTTAAGAGAAAACAACGTATAAAGTTCGTGTGTTGCCAAATTTCTTTCGGTAAAATACAAATTTTCCGGAAAACTTGTGAGACTTTTTCGTCCGATTTTCCAGAGGATTTTCCGAGCAATGTAATCTCAAGTTTCGAGTAGAAATACGCATTAATCGTCTCAAAAATTAACATTTTAGAGGGGAAATGTGGCAACTCTCGGATGTTGATACGGCGTTTTTCCTTAGCAAGGCGGAGAAGCCTCTCGTAGTTTTTCTCGTCATCAAAATGAAAGTGATGCATTTTATTTTGATTTTGAAGGTCGTTCTAAGCGTCATACAATGATGCGGAGGCTGGGTTTGGGGAAAACTTTGCGCAAGCCCTGCCGCAAATGAAGGTCTAGAGCCGTGGTACAAATAGTAACGTAGCCGGGGTTTCTCCTGCTTTTGTATGTGTATGACCATTCGCGGGAAAAGGACCTCACTTGTAGGTCAAATCTCCAGTGGGACGATTTTTGTCGGATTTAGTCGAAAAATCGAATTTTGAGATGGCAACGAAAATTCTCTCAATTATATACGTCCTGTGGAAAAATTTGATAACGATTTCTACCCATGATGTTGGTTTAGCCGGAAAATGGCAAAGAAGACAGCGTTGCCACTGTCAGGGGAAACCGGGGAATTTCAGGAAATTTTAAAAAGTCAGGGAATATGACGAAAATGTTGGAGAAATTATCAAGTCACGTTTATTTGCTTTTTAGAATGGGTTTGACGTTTCAAACATCAAATTTTGCCGGAAAACTATTTCCAATTATGTTTTTTTTTTTTTTTTTTTATCCATCTGGCATTTATCCAATTGGCAGGTTTTACCAAAATGTGTCAGGGAAATCAGGGAAATGTCAGGGAATTTAATTTTTTAAATTCTGTGGCAACCCTGTAGAAGTGGCCCTAGTAATTTTAGAAACAAGCTCACCCTTTCAGAGTTTTTGAAGACCAAGATCTCCTTTCCCGTGGTCGGTTACCTATCGATGGTGAAACCATCAAACTACGGATCTCGATAACAGTGTTTGCAAATTTCCGCTTATTTTTTATTTTTTAAAGAGAACATTCCTCGTTTTTTCGCCTTACATTTATATAATGAATAAGTCGAAAGATTGAAATGAAGTCAAATGAAATTTTTGGCTAAAAGAAGCACTTACTAGGCCTTTTCTTCTTCTTTTTTTAACGAAAAGTGAAATATGCAACGTCGCTAAACGAGATACGCGTGGTTTGGTTCTTTCATCATCGTGTATATTTCAGACAGATGTGTCGGGCTGAACGAAAAGAACGAAGCAAAATTAACAG